TTAAATAAGTATAGTTAGTTAATAACACTATGTTATAAATAATTAACTAATATTAGAACATGTTAAGTAAATATAGCTTGTTAATAACACTATGTTATAAATAATTAACTAATATTAGAACATATTAAGTAAATATAGTTTGTTAATAATACTATGTTATAAATAATTAACTAATATTAGAACATGTTAAGTAAATATAGCTTGTTAATAAAACTGTGTTATAAATAATTAACTAATATTAGAACATGTTAAGTAAATATAGTTTGTTAATAATACTATGTTATAAATAATTAACTAATATTAGAACATGTTAAATAAGTATAGTTAGTTAATAACACTATGTTATAAATAATTAACTAATATTAGAACATGTTTAATAAGTATAGTTTGTTAATAACACTGTGTTATAAATAACTAACTAATATTAGAACATGTTTTTATAAGTATAGTTAGTTAATAACACTATGTAGTAAATAATTAACTAGTATCAGAACATGTTTTTATAAGTATAGTTAGTTAATAACACTATGTAGTAAATAATTAACTAATATTAGAACATGTTAAATAAGTATAGTTTGTTAATAATACTATGTTATAAATAATTAACTAGTATCAGAACATGTTAAATAAGTATTGTTTGTTAATAACACTGTGTAATAAATAATTAACTAATATTAGAACATATTAAGTAAATATAGTTTGTTAATAATACTATGTTATAAATAATTAACTAGTATCAGAACATGTTAAATAAGTATTGTTTGTTAATAACACTGTGTAATAAATAATTAACTAATATTAGAACATATTAAGTAAATATAGTTTGTTAATAATACTATGTTATAAATAATTAACTAGTATCAGAACATGTTAAATAAGTATTGTTTGTTAATAACACTGTGTAATAAATAATTAACTAATATTAGAACATATTAAGTAAATATAGTTTGTTAATAATACTATGTTATAAATAATTAACTAATATTAGAACATGTTAAGTAAATATAGCTTGTTAATAAAACTGTGTTATAAATAATTAACTAATATTAGAACATGTTAAGTAAATATAGTTTGTTAATAATACTATGTTATAAATAATTAACTAATATTAGAACATGTTAAATAAGTATAGTTAGTTAATAACACTATGTTATAAATAATCAACTAATATTAGAAGATGTTAAATAAGTATTGTTTGTTAATAACACTGTGTTATAAATAATTAACTAATATCAGAACATGTTAAATAAGTATAGCTTGTTAATAATACTATGTTATAAATAATTAACTAATATTAGAACATGTTAAGTAAATATAGTTTGTTAATAATACTATGTTATAAATAATTAACTAATATTAGAACATGTTAAGTAAATATAGCTTGTTAATAAAACTGTGTTATAAATAATTAACTAATATTAGAACATGTTAAATATGTATAGTTTGTTAATAATACTTTGTTATAAGTAATTAACTAATATTAGAACATGTTAAGTAAATATAGCTTGTTAATAAAACTGTGTTATACATAATTAACTAATATTAGAACATGTTAAGTAAATATAGTTTGTTAATAATACTATGTTATAAATAATTAACTAATATTAGAACATGTTAAATAAGTATTGTTTGTTAAAAACACTGTGTAATAAGTAATTAACTAATATTAGAACATGTTAAGTAAATATAGCTTGTTAATAAAACTGTGTTATAAATAATTAACTAATATTAGAACATGTTAAATAAGTAATGTTTGTTAATAACACTGTGTTATAAATAATTAACTAATATTAGAACATGTTAAGTAAATATAGTTTGTTAATAATACTATGTTATAAATAATTAACTAATATCAGAACATGTTAAATAAGTATAGTTTGTTAATAACACTGTGTAATAAATAATTAACTAATATTAGAACATGTTAAATAAGTAATGTTTGTTAATAACACTGTGTTATAAATAATTAACTAATATTAGAACATGTTAAGTAAATATAGTTTGTTAATAACACTATGTTATAAATAATTAACTAATATTAGAACATGTTAAGTAAATATAGTTTGTTAATAACACTATGTTATAAATAATTAACTAGTATCAGAACATGTTAAATAAGTATAGTTTGTTAATAATACTATGTTATAAATAATTAACTAGTATCAGAACATGTTAAATAAGTATAGTTTGTTAATAATACTATGTTATAAATAATTAACTAATATTAGAACATGTTAAATAAGTATAGTTTGTTAATAATACTATGTTATAAATAATTAACTAGTATCAGAACATGTTAAATAAGTATAGTTTGTTAATAACACTGTGTTATAAATAATTAACTAATATTAGAACATGTTAAGTAAATATAGCTTGTTAATAAAACTGTGTTATAAATAATTAACTAATATTAGAACATGTTAAGTAAATATAGTTTGTTAATAACACTATGTTATAAATAATTAACTAGTATCAGAACATGTTAAATAAGTATAGTTTGTTAATAATACTATGTTATAAATAATTAACTAGTATCAGAACATGTTAAATAAGTATAGTTTGTTAATAATACTATGTTATAAATAATTAACTAATATTAGAACATGTTAAATAAGTATAGTTTGTTAATAATACTATGTTATAAATAATTAACTAGTATCAGAACATGTAA